TAGAATGTATGGAGGGGTGTTTAGAGGACACTGAAAAATAGTAGCAGGCGGACTGGGGAAGGAAACCAAATGAGAAGTGAGAGAGAAGCCGAGTTTCCTGTTTTTTTTCTTCCCGTATGTCCTGCCTGCACTCCAGGGCAACCTGAATCCCCGAACTGCGGACTTCCAAGGCAGTCCCTCCCTTTCCAGCCCAAGGAGCAGTGATGGAAGTCCCTTTGGGACAGAGACTGGGAGGAATCCTGCCAACTTCCATACAAACCCTGTTAACATGTGGAATGTACATTCTAGACCTTTTTTTTAAAAAAGCATAGTTGATTATACCAAATGTTTTGTGTTGTCCTCAAGAGGAGAAAATGTTTATGATATAAGCTTACCGCACAGGCATTGTGAACTTATTTTTTCATAATTTATTAAGCAATAATAGGGGCGCCGGGGTGGCTCAGTCAGTTAAGCGTCTGCCTTTGGCTCCTAGTCATGATCCCAGGGTCCTGGGATGGAGCCCCACATTGGACTCCCCACTTAGTGGGGCGTCCGCTTCTCCCTCTCCTTCTGCCCTGCCCCTTCTGCTCATGCTCTCTCACTCTCTCAAATGAAAAATTAAAAAAATCTAAAAAAAAAAGAACACCCCAAAACTGTGGCCTAGTTCAGTACCTTTGAATCCCTGTAGTGTGAGTCCAGTGCACCCCGTCAGTTCTGGTTCAGTACATCCCAGAGCTATTTCCAGGGACTCCTGGTGTTTTCAGGACGGGCGGGGCCTGGGCTTTGAATAGCAAAGGAACAGCTAGTTAATGTCATCCCTGGGTAGATGGTTTCCAGTTTGTTGCATTTATAAATGATATTACAGTGTTTGTACATAAAGCTTTCTTTCCTGTGTGGGGTCCTTTCTTTGAGGTAGACTTCTAGGTCACAGGCTGTGCTGTTGAGGTTGCTGTTCAGTATTGATGAGCTTTGCCGGGGATTTTGCCGATCATAATAAAGCCATGACTCCCCAGGCTGTAGGTGAGGGGCTTGAGGGTCAGACCCGTCCAGCCCCCTGGGGTCGCACAGCCAAGTGGCAGAGGCCTCACCTGTCCTCTCCCTGCCCCCCTGGCAGCTTCCTCCAGTGTGCCCCCTCCTCCTAAGGGAGCCACTTTGAGGAGATGGGCGACCCTGTGCCTGCCTCCCCCCCACCGCCAACCCCCGGCGGCCAAGGGAACAGTGAGCTCCTGTCAATGTCCGTTTGTATTTCTGTTTGTTTGACACAGTGTCTACCTCCAGTTGCTCATACCCTTTGTCCGCTGATGAATTTTGTTTCCCACCCTGGTCTGATTTACTTGATTGACAGGTGTGGTGCACAGGAAAAAGATGGTAACTGGTTTCTGCTCAGTTGTTTTGTGATTTGTCTTGTACTTTGTTTGCTTTTTTAAACATAATTAAAATTTTTTACGTGGCCATCTGTCTTCTCTTCCCGCTTTCCACTAAAGCTTAAAGAGACTACTCCCCTTGCAGAGATTTGACTGACATGAAAACTTTTTAAAAGAAAGCTTAGGAGTTTTAAGGGCACTCGTAAGAAATGCAGCATTGATTTCTGGCTTTTTTTTCTCGATGCTATGTTTACCTTGTAATTTCTCCCTCCTCCCTACACGCACAGGTTCCCCATGAATATTTTCATGCTAAAACGGGAGGGCAGGGCACCTGGGTGGCTCAGATGGTTAAGCGTCTGCCTTCGGCTCAGGTCATGATCCCAGGGTCCTGGTATCGAGTCCCTTGTCAAGTCGGGCTCCCTGCTCCTTGGGAGCCTGCTTCTCCCTCTGCCTCTCTCTCTCTCTCTCTCTCTCTCTCTCTCTCTCTCCCTCCCTCTCTCTCTCCCTCTGTCTCTCATGAAATAAATAAATAAAATCTTAAAAAAAAACGGGAGTGCAAATTATGGGGTGATGGTGCCTGAGAATAGCATTTCTAGTGCAAAAAAAAAAGAATTTTAGAAGGACAATCTGAAATAACATAAAATGAAAAGCTACGTAAGTTTTTTTTTTTTAAGATTTTATTTATTTATTTGACAGAGAGAGACACAGCGAGAGAGGGAATACAAGCAGTGGGGGTGGGAGAGGTTCAGAAGCAGGCTTCCCGCCGAGCAGGGAGCCCAATGCGGGGCTCGATCCCCAGGACCTGGGATCATGACCCGAGCCGAAGGCAGACGCTTAACGACTGAGCCACCCAGGCGCCCCTACCTAAGTTTTTTTGCCATCATTTTCTTCTTTATCCATTGTTATGCTAGAACTGGGCCAAACTTCCAATTTAAACCTTTAAAAAAATTTTTATCATGTATATACACGTATACAATTGAAAATATAAAATGGTTCTGCAGAAGCTATTACGAAAAACATTAGCCCCCCAACCCTGACCCAACTCCAGCCTACATCCCTAACTCACTTTCAGCTCTTTTAACTGAATCTAGTGGTGTTTACCTTCCTATCTTTTCACTTTTTACAGGTGTGTGTGTGTGTAAGTGTGTAAGTGACATGGCAGTTCTATTTATTTTTCTGATGGAAATCTTAGCGATGTCCTACAAGGAAAGCCAGAACTGAGGGTCCTCGATGCCCCAGCCCCAGTTCGGTGCCTTTTCGGCCACACCCTGTCCCACCACAGGCCGTCACACTTCCTGTTCCCTCTTCCCAGTCTAGTTTTCTGTTCTGATTTAACTCCATACTCAGTGCTTACATTATGAGTTTGTAAATGCCCTTTGTAGCCAACTCATGTTGTTTCCTGTGATTGCTTTTCTGCACAGTATTTTGTTTCCTGTAGAGTTAGTGATTGCCTTGCTTTTTGCTTTCTTAGTTGTCTGTGTGCGCACACATTCATCCCCATGTGGTGACTCTTTTATTCAGTGCTCTCGGAGGCAGGGGCCTCTCTTGGTGGCACCTCCTCCAGGGCGACCCTCCTGCACACCTACTCGCCCCCTTCACTGTCCACCCTGGGCTCTCCCTTCATTGGCATCCTCGCGGGTCCCGTCTCTTCTTTTTTCTGCGTTTACTCCTTTGCTTTACAGAGCATACCCTTGTAATTCCCTGAAAACAGGAGTACACAGGTGGTAAATATTGTGAAATCTTGTGTGTGTGAAAATGGCTTTAGTTTACCCTTTACTGTAGGGCCAGTTAGTAATATGGCTGGGTATAGGATTCTAAGTTGGAAATCATTTTCCCACAGAATTTGGATGCATTCTTCCAAAGCCTTCTGTTTTCCTGTATTGTTTTTGAAAAAGCCTGACTCTTGATCCTTTGTATGAAGCTTGTTTTTAATTTCTAGAGGTGTTGGGGTCTCCTGCTATGTTCACTGACCTTCTGAATGTGAACATCCATACCCTCTCTGTGGTGTGTTCAACCCACCATCCTTAAGTAGAAATCTGGATACATTTTTTTAAAGGGAGATTGTAATAGAACATGTATTTCCCAAAGCCTGGAATATCATCGGTGAGATGCTGAAAAGGATCATGGTGATTAAGTTGGGCAACTAATCAGAACTTTAAAAGTGTGCTGACAAGCATAAAATACAGACAGGCACACATTTCGTTTGACAGAGCAAATAAGAATTGCAGTGAGTTGTTTAAGCCACTTACGAGTCCAGTGTGTGGCCCAGATGTGTGGGCCGTAGACGCGTAGATTTATTTATGAACTTTTCTCACTCTTATTAAAAGGGAAAAACATGCAGTTCTACCCACATAATAATTTCAGAAGACTGAAGGCACATCCACCTCAGTCCCTTGTCTCGGTGGTCGCCGTATCATTAAAAAACCAGTCTTCTCGCAATTGACTGCTCCAGTCTCCGGCACTTCAGCTAAGTTAGCGAAAGAGTTGTCCCCAAGCTGAGCACTGGAAGTTTTCCTAGATATTTTTTTCCAAATTGGCTCTGGTAGTAAATCAGTCAATGACTCTTTCTCTATCAGTGTAATTTTAAAAGCTGGGTTAGCATCTGCTGAAATGTGCTATAGAAAGTGCCAGCATCGAAGGAACGTTCCGAGGCCACATGCTTCATCTCTAGGACCAGACCCCTTCTGAGCGCTGTCCGAAGAACGGTGACCGTTGAGCGGCAGACTTCACGGTGGGGTCTGATGTATCTCAGCATGAGCCCGTGAAGGCAGAACACTCCCGTGCTTCTCCTCTGTGCTCATTGCCCACACCAAGCACTTCTCTGGCCAGATGTGGGGAATGCACTGTGGTACTGGCTCCCTGGGGACAGTATCAGATCCCAGAGGCTAAAGGCTCCGTGTCACACTGACTGTCCCCACCTCCTGCTTCAGACACCAGTCCCAAGTCCGGGTTGTCCCCGGGCTTCTGACCCCCCCCCCCAGCTATAAATTGGAGGTTCCTGTGACCCCTCCTCAGGTTGATTAATTTGCTAAATGTTGCCCACAGAACTCAGGAAAACATGTTACTTACTAGATTTCCACTGTATTCTAAGAGGATATAACTTAGGGCAGCCAAATGCATGAGATGCGCCAGGCGAGGTGTGTGGGAAGGGGTGCCGAGCTTCCGCGCCCTGTCTGGGTGCGCCCCTCCTCCCAGTACCCCCCATACCTCGACTCTTTCACCACCCTGGGAGCTCTCTGAACCTTCATCCTTTAGGATTTTTGTGGAGACTTCATTACGTCAGCGGGATTGATGAGGCCGTCGGCCATGGGTGATTGACTCAGCCTCCAGCCCCTCTCCCCTCCCTGGAGGCCCAGCCCCCTGACGGCCTGGTGGGTTCTGCTGGCATCCAGCCCCCATCCTTTGGGGCTTTCCCAGACGCAGCTTGTTAACAGGCGCTCAGGTGTGTTGAAAGGGCCTTGTGAGGAATAACCAAAGAAAGACACCTTGATCTCAGGAAATTCCCAAGGTTGTGCCAGCAGAATGAAATCAGAGACCAAGTATATATTTCTGATTAGAAATCACCGTATCAGAAAGCTTAATTTAACTGAATAGTAGTAGTCTGGGCGCACTTCCGTGTGGGCCAGTAACGAATCTTGTCTTCTCTTTTCCCATCAGCTTTTTGGAGACTGGGAAGCCCAACTGCGGAGAATAATGAAGCTCATCGCTGGCGGTGGCCTGTCCATCACTGGTTCTCACAACATGTGCGGGGACTATCTGTACAGCGGCCACACGGTCATGCTCACACTCACCTACTTATTTATCAAAGAGTGTAAGTCCACGGCAGCCTTCCATGACATCTGCCATGTCCCCCGGTCTCTGCGGAGTCCCCTGCAAGAGGGCGGCACCTCCTCTGCCGACTGCGCCCAGACACGGGGGCCCCCGGAGTGACCCGTGTGTGCGTGTGCGTGTGTGTGTGTGTGTGTGTGTGGGTCTGTGTGTGTATAGCGGGTGGGGAGTGACTTGTTCCCTCGAGTGTCAGCGTAGCATGTGGGATGTGTTAGAGCTCCTGGAAGGAGCCAGAAGGAAATCTCCTCTAAGACCACAGGACTCCAGCGTCAGGCCTGGTAGGATGTGATCACAGACCAGGTGTTTTCAAGTTCCTGGCCCTCTGCCCTAAGCCGTGGGGACAGAAGGGGCTCGGTGATGTGGGCTCAGGGACACTAAATGAGGCAGACACTGAACGGGAAATTCCCTTTAAAAAAATGTACTTAAAATATTTTATTATGAGACACACAAAAAATAATACTAAATATGCCCCTGTCCACTGCTCAGGCTTAATAGTAGCATTTGCTGTGTCTGTTTTGCTTAACCCGTTAAAAAACAAATAAAATGTAACTAGGTGATTAAGGCCTTTCATTCCTTCTCCTTCCATTTTCCTGCGTCACGTCCATGCATGTTTTGGTGCTTGCGTGTCATGGTGTGAGGGTTTGTCAAATCTACATAATGGTGTTATGTTCTCTATAGTCTTCCGGCTTGTTTTCTCGCGGATGATGTTGGTGAGACATGAGGCTCTGGCCCCTTGTAATGAACCCCAGGTTATCTTGTCTCCTTGTAGGAAACGCAGTTGTCCTCAGTATTTTACTGTTAAAAACAGTCTCGATGAGCATTATTCAGGCAGTTTCCATGAAGAATAGTGAGTAGACCCGGGCTGTCGGTACCTTGGAAGAGGGCCGCACACATTGCAGTCGGGACGTGTCTTGGGAGTGAGCGTGTGGCACCGTCTGGAAGGTTGGTGTGGTTGGAATTCAGAGCGCTGGTAGTGATGAGAAGTCACAAATGAACTGTTAAGCAGGAACCAGATCATGGAGCGTGCCTGAGACCGTGAGGAGTCTGAACTTCCATTCTCTCAGAGGCGGGGCCATGCTGTGCCGTTCCTCCTCCGGAGAAGGAGGAGCCACTGCGGGGGCAGGTGCAGGATGGGTGGAGGGGGCCGGGCTGGAGAGCAGGGTGAGAGTGGGGGGCCGGCTGCTGCCGTAATCCAGGGAAGACGTGGGGTGGCCTGAACCACCGTGATGGTGTTGGCGTCGGCAAGACGCGCAGGGAACGGAGAGAGGTCCACAAACAAGAGTCCGCAGAGAGCAGGGCTGACCAGGAGCACAGGAGACAGCTGAAGACTGAAGGCTTGAAAGCCCGGTTTTGGTCTTTTTTTTTTTTTTTTTAAGATTTTTATTTATTTGACATAGAGAGCACAAGCAGGGGGAGCAGCAGAGGAAGAAGGAGAAGCAGACGCCCCCCTGAGCAGGGAGCCCAACGCGGGACTCGATCCCAGGACCCCGAGATCATGACCTCAGCCGAAGGCAGACGCTTCACTGACTGAGCCCGCCAGGTGTCCCGGGCCAGTTTTGGTCTTAAACTAAGATGGGGAAGACAGGAGAAGAGGAGATGTGCTGCAGGGCACCGGGAGAAGGAAGTGTAGGTGTTCTTCCACTCGTACTTGGCATGTGACCAAGGAGAGTGAATTCTAACAGTTTCTGTTCAGAACTGTCAGGGTGCCATCTTGCCCTTGTGCTGGGGCGAGCCGGCCGTGGCGCTGGGGGCTGCGCAGGCCCGGTGCAGCCGGCTGGGGGAGCACTCCCACCCCCTGCTGATTGTACTGCAGTGGGGGCTAAGCCTTGTCCTTGAAGGAAGCCCAGCACGCCATGTCGGGAGACTGGGAAGACTGGGGTCACAAGCGTGGATTTTGAGTCCTGGTGCTACCACGAGCTCTGTGACCTTGGGGACCACCTTTAACCTCTCTAAGTCTTGGTTCCCTCGTCTTTCGAATGAGCTACTGGTACCCACCCTGTGGCTGAGGGAGAGGTGGTAGGAATGAAAACAGATGGCATACATGGGCTCCAGCAGAGCTGCATGAGGAGGAATGAACGGTATCTGCTGTTGTTGTGTTGTTAGGGTGCTGTAAATACAGATTCTCCTGGGGGTGGGATACAGAGTCCCCGCCCCTGCCCTGACCACTCCATTTAAAGCTGCAGACCTCCCTTCCCCTTCTCTGTTTCTGATCCTGCTTCTCCTGTTCAACTTCTTAATTTTTCCTTGGCATTTAATACCTTCTAACATAGCGCATAATTTACTTATTTATTATAATTATTTTGTATTGTCTCTCCTCCATGCTGGGAAGGGATCTGCCTACAGGGTAGGTTCTTCACCTGTTTACTCGTTGTTCTCAGTAGCTAGAGCATCTCCTGTCCCAGGCACATAGAGATGCTTGATAAATACTGCTGAAATGGACGACTAGTTCTTAGACCCCTTGAGAATCCAATAAAAGTGTGAATTTCCTCCCCCTGGGTAGTAAGGATGGATCACATGCAAATGACATTCCTGTGTAAAATGTCAGACCCTCTTCAGCCCATTCTTCCAGAATACAAGGTGGGAAGGCCTGCATTCATAGAGATTTTGATGCTTCCCCGCCCCCTCCGCCACCCAGGGGGCTTCCACATGGAGGTATGGACAGGTGTTTATCTGACTCTGCCCTGCCTTTGAATGCACTTGGGCCCAAATTCCTGGGCATCTGGATCCTTTCTTATTTCCATTTGAGAAATGGAAATCTCGAAGACTTTCAGATTAGCGTGTGGGCATAGAGCTTGGAAAGCAAATAAGACAGTATCAATTATGACTGTCCCTGTATAAGGATCTCTAGACCAAAAAAAAGGTATTGATTTGTGTTTAGAGCATTAACCCCAAGTTATTTACAAGTAAATTGACTTAAATGTCAGTGGACAGTTTTGTGTGTGTGTGTGTGTGTTTTTAATAGAGCATGATGCATTATGCTGTCCGTTGCCCTTTTAAGCTGTATTTTATGATTATATGAATCAAGGAATAACCAAACATAAATTACAATCGCTGATAAAATCATAAAATAAGCTACTGCCATTCTTGCCTTGGTTACATAGAAGCTAAAGCCCTTCGATTTGCTGCCCACATGACATGTTTCCAGAAGGAAAGGTCAGAGTCACGGGGTGCAGAAGCGGTCATCGAGGCGTGGTTGGGTGCCCTTAGAGGTGCTGGGATGATGGGGCTATGGTGAGTGTCTCGTCTTTGCAGATTCCCCTCGACGACTCTGGTGGTACCACTGGATCTGCTGGCTGCTCAGCGTGGTTGGGATCTTCTGCATCCTCTTGGCGCATGACCACTACACTGTGGACGTGGTGGTGGCCTACTACATCACCACGAGACTCTTCTGGTGGTACCACACGATGGCCAATCAGCAAGTGAGTGTCCCTCCTTGTGGGATTGCAGCGTCTCTTCCCCCCCCCCCCCCGGCCCGGCGGTGCCCACGCAGCAGGGGGAGGGGGCGGGCCAACCGGCATCTAAGGTTGGGTTGTAAGCGAACAGGGAATGTGTGAGTGCAGCGACATGGACATAGCATCCTTCTAGAGCAAGGGCCGCCCTCCCACCGCCCCTGACAAATGTCTCGGCTGTGCCCACCGGCTGCACCCACCAGCTGCCTGGTCTCCCTCCCCCCCCCCCCCCAGCTGAGTCCTGAACGTCCATCGCAGAAAGTCACCGAAACACTGATTGAGGGATACATGTGTGGATGAGAGATGGAGTAAGGCCCGCGTTGTCCGTGCGCTCCCGGAATTGGCTTGTCTTCCTGCTGGGGTGTGGCCCAGTTAGCAGATGAACACAGAGTGGCCAAGTGCGTGTAACGGGGGCACGCAGGGCCCGTGGGGCGGGTCTGGGGTCCTTTGCGAACTGGAATAAGGAATAAGGAAACCATCTCAACTCTAGGTGGAAGGTGGTTAGCAAAGCGTGCGTGTTCCTTTTGGGGCGCGGACAGTGGCTCCCCCCCCCTGACGTGGTTTTCCTGCCCTTGGTCTCCTAGGTGCTAAAAGAAGCTTCCCAGATGAACCTCCTGGCTAGGGTGTGGTGGTACAGGCCGTTTCAGTACTTTGAAAAGAATGTCCAAGGAATCGTACCTCGCTCTTACCACTGGCCCTTCCCCTGGCCAGTCGTCCACCTCGGCAGACAAGTGAAATACAGCCGCTTGGTGAATGACACATAACAGCCGCGCAAGGCCGGGGAGCGAGGAGCTGTCCGAAGTGCTAAGAACTCCGTGAGAGAAGATGCCATAAACAAACACCTCCCTGATCCTGTTCTCTTTCAAAAGTTACCTTGACTTAACCTATTGAGTTACCTGGTCAGCACTGTGATCTTTTTTTCTCTCCAAAGGACCTGCGTTGGACAACAATAAAGAAAATTTAACCTATCATGCACTGTACACATTTTCCTGTTCATAAGTTTGGGATTTCCATAACCTGCGACCACCATGTTCCTTTGTATATGATGCAACAGCATAAATGTAAGCTTTTATATCATCAGTTCTGGTCTTTCCAGGCACATCTGGAAATAAAGCGTATTATTTTCTTGGGAAAACATACTTTTCATATCTCTTGCCCCAAAGATTGGGCTGTAAGCCATTTTCTAGCAAATGTCTCTATGAAGGTTTCTAAGTACCTGAATGGGGTTCGATTCTGAAATCTTTCTACCTGTTGCACCGATATTCAAATAAAAATGACAGACACAGAAAGGTTTGGTCACTTTGGGTTTTGTAAAAATCAGCAGAGAGAGTGTGTCAAAAAGTGCAAAAAAAAGATTCTGTTATAAAGTGATTTTCTAAGTATTTCCTAACTTTATTTTTCAAAATAATGTTATGAAAACCAAATTTAAAGATTTTTACATGTTGGAGAGAAAAGAGTTAAAATTTAAAAATGCTTCTTGGGAGAGAAATTTGTCTATGTTTCTAGTGCCTTTCTTGTCTTGATTGTATGGTCAGTAGGCAATCTTAAATGTTTTTATTTAAAATAAATATTCCATGGAAATATAAATGTATGTATACACTACTAAATTTTGCATTTATAGCTAAATTAAATCAGAAGACTGCTTATGGTTTTTAAATCGCTGTGAATTAAAGAAAGGGGGAGTTAATCAGAAAGTCAGAACCTGTTCCCATATTGTGAGCAGGTAGCAATGACACGTACCACTTAAATTATTTTATCACCTATTTGGTAGTTCGATTTTAACTATACAGTGAAAATAGCCATGAATACTTTGTTTTTAAAAAGAGAGTTTTGAAAATGATCACTTAACTAAAAAACGTGAAAGCTCTAAATTAGTTATCCATACTTTCATGACAATTTTGTTGGTGAACAACAAAACAGAGATCTATTTCTTTAAAATATATTTGTGCAGAAACTGCATGTAACTCTAAGTTTTACTCCTAACATGAGTATGTTTGGGGAAGTATTCTCTTCTATACTTGCCAATGTGGAGAACAAAATAGTTTTTTAAGAATGAAGAAGTATATATATCCATTCTGTATTTTACGCAGCAGAATTATCTTCCGTAGGGTTTTTTTGTGTATTCACAAGGTGATATTTGTATTGTAAAACAATAATGGTGAAGGAAATAAAAAGGCTTTTAAAATTTTGTTTGTTTTAAATATTTGTAAAGTTACTATTCCAGAGAGTATACTGATATCTTAACAGCTTATCTAGATCATAAATTAATCAAAATGCACTTTTTAATAAAACCTGATCCTTAAAAAATAAATGGCTGTTATTTCTAATGTGTTCACATCCTTCCCAGAAGTCGTCGACGAAGTCATTAAAGCAAATACTGCATTTTTGGACCTTCTTCCTTGGTTTTGTTTGAGACAGGGCCTCTGGCAACCCTGTTTCTTTCCCCTTAAGGTTTCTGAAAGTGTGCAAGTGTCTTTTCAAAAATACATAATTGAAAGTGCGTTGGATTCAAGCTACAGACCACGTTGGCTAGAGATGTCAGGCCGGTGAGATTTCCTGCGTGGGGCTCTGGACGTGTGTCTCCATCAGATGGTGGGATGGCCTCTGGAGGCAAGTTGGCTGGAATTCTGGGACGGCCATTTCACTGGCACAGCCTTCCCCTGACCTTGACTGTCGGACAGGTGCTGCGTATCGAGGGGGAAAGCAGCTTGAGTGACGAAAATGCAGTATGGGCACATGCTAAAAATTGGATCTTTTCTTCCTAAGTCAAGTGGTTTTCTAAAAAAAAAAAAAAAAATTGGTACTACAGGTTTGCATCCTACGTATGTCCTGAAGAAAATTCGTGCCTGACTGCCCTGTTCATGAATGGACATACCCTGTGGCTCTCTGTCTGCAGATCCGGGAAGGACAGAGCAATCTCGTGTTCCGGAGAATCTAGTCCACTTGATGCCTGCCTGATAGAGGACATGCGCTTTTTTGTCCTTTAGTTGGCTAAGACAAAGCCCTGGACAGCTCCTTTGTTGGGCTCTCTTTATGAGGAGGGCATTTTACGTGTATTATCTTGTTAACCCTCACAAAACCAGAAGGTTAGTTACTACCCCGTCTTGCAGAAGGTGACTGATTGGGCTTCCGGTTTCCGCCGTCTCCCTAGCATCCCACACCCCCCAAATACTGTGAGTGTTCATAGATTGTACAGGAAGAGTCAGCCGTGGGAGAAATCGGTGCCTGTGCTGGAAAAGCCAAGTGGTACACCTCGTTATGAACTGAATAGTAGGCAATCCACATCATGAGGTGAGAGACGAGTTTTGCCAATTTCCTAACTGCTAAATGTTTTATTTGTATCCCAAATACCTAATTGATGTGATAAGTATCTCATAAACTTTATAAATATCACATAAAATGAGAATCCCTGTTAGCTTTAATTTGACCTTTGTTATACAAAAGTCAACCATGGAATTGAGTTAACTAGGGTATAGAATATGCTACTTGGATCCCTTGATACTGATTTTTTTTTTTAAAGATGTACTTATTTTAGAGAAAGAGGGTGCAGGGGAGATGGGCAGAGGGAGAGAGAAACGCAAGCAGACTCCCCACTGAGTGTGGAGCCCAACACGGGGCTTGATCTCATCATGACCCTGAGATCACAACCTAAGCCAAAAGCAAGAGTCAGACTCTGATGCTGATCCTCTTTATTTTTCTCTCCCTTCGGTCAGGAAACTTACTTCGAGCAAATCCAGACTTGATACTCTGCTTATCAGCACCTTAAAGTTCTTCTCTGTCTGCTGGTTCAGCACGAGTCACAAGAAAATTAAGCAACCTGCTAGGTCCAGACTCCAGCCTTCAGAGGTCAGAGATGGGCGTGGTCCGTGAGGGGAAGTTGCACAAAACTGGAATGAGGGAGGGAGAGGGTTGGGATCGTGGGGAAAGTGGCAGGACAGTGCAGACGGCCGGGGCTTACTATCGGTGAAGACAGGGAGGGAGGGTTTATCACAAGAGCTAACACGTGTGTTGCATGTGTGAGAAATCCTTTATGTTCTCGGGTGTTGGCCTAGCACTGGTGTCATTTAGGGTCTGGCAATTGAGAAAGTGCATGCTATGGATTTAGAAATGCCCTTGAGAATTTGTGGTTTGCCAGTGACAGCGTACGTGTAACGTCTGATCAACACGAACAGTACTTACACAGCCATTCGTTGTTCCACCAACACATCATGGTTGGTGAGCGCAAAGACTTGAGAGTCTCTTGAGAATTCTTGGGACAGGTTTACTGAAGATTTGAAGACAGAGATCAATGAGACAGGCAGACTCCCATGTTTTTCAAAGTTAAAGAAGTAGGGAGTCCAAATTCAGAGGCCTATGCGAACTCCCGTGTCCTAGTTCCTGTCTAGGAAGGATGTCTAGGGTGTGGCCCAGATGAGGACAAGGGAAGGCTCTGACACCCAAGAGGGACCGGCTCTGAGTTCCCTCCCAGCCCCCTGGTGGCCTAGAACTTCATGTGTTGTGATGCTCTCTTGTTAGATGCATACACATTAAAGGTGCTATGTCTTCTTGGAGGATTGACCCCTTTACTGTTTTGTCATCTCTCTATTCCTGATAATACTCCTTGTTGTGAAGTCTGCTTTGTCTGAAATGAAAATAATGACTCCAGCTTTCTTCTGATGAGTGTTCGCATGGTATATATCCTTCTCGACCCCTTTATTTTTACCTCTCTGGACCTTTATAAAGTGGGTTTCTTATAGAATATATCGCAGATAAACAGCATCTTGTTTTTAATCTATTCTATAATCTCTGCTTTTTAATTGGTGTATTTAGACCTGTCACATTTAAAGTGTAATTGATAATACGGTTGACCCTTGAACAATCCGGGTTTGGACTGAGCAGGTCCACTTACACGTGGGTTTTTTCAATAAATACAGTACTGTAAATGGACTTTCATGATTTTCCTGATATTTTTGTCTCTAGCTTTATTCTAAGAATACAGTATGTAATACATATACAAAATATGTGTTCATTGTTATTGATAAGGCTTCTGGTCAACAGGCTATTAGTAGATAAATTTGGGGAGAGTCAAAATTTTTACGTGGATTTTCGACTCCCACCTCCCTTCCCCCCCCAACCCCAACAGCAGTTCATCTAAGTTACCATGTAAGTGTTCCTCATAATTTATGGCTTTAGTGGCTTCTGCTCCGTGCAAGGAGATCTCAGCTGTGACTCTGAGTGCACCTGTCTCTCCAGATTTGGAGGGTGGTGGCTGGATCCATTGACCCAAAAAAGTCATTTTTTGAAACGTTTGTCCAGCCTTTTCTAGTTGTAAGGATGGGAATGGTGACTTGACTCCAAAGCCCTTTCATGTTAAAGGTGAAACCAGAAGCCCTTGGTGACCCAGTTTTGGTGGGTCATTTATTTGACCAAATAAATTCATTTATTTGGTCAAATTTGGCCATTTATTTGACCAAATAAATTTGGAGGACAATGAATAAGCTGTTACCTGTAGAGTACCTTTAATGGCTGGACATACAAATTTGTGTCCTAATGACAATTGAAGACCTAAAAATACAAATGGCCGTTAGAGTCCGTTTTAATGACTTCTAACTCTCAACACACCGGGTGTCCAGAAGAACGTGAAGACAGTTAGCACTGGATTGGGGAACGGAGGGGGCACATTCAGGTATCTTAACTGCAAGTTTACTTCCTGGAGCCTTTAATTTGCTCTCCGCCTAGAGGACCTAGGATGCAGCCGAGCCCCAAAGCAAACCCAAACTCCAGAGGAACCTGAATGACTTTCCCTCCCCTTCTTTTTTTCTTTGGACTGCTCCCGTGGCTAGTTTCCTGAGAGCCCTGTGGCATATCCCAAGCTGGTGCCTGGGAAAGATCTGGTTAGTGACAAGTAAGACATTGGTTAGTAACAAATACGATTGCTTACGAGGAACATCAAAACATTACAAGAAAGTGTCAGGTGCCTACCGTCCAGAATGCTTGGTCTATTTTTGCCAGAGGGTTTACAGTATGTTCTGTTGGGTTAGTCGGTTTTTTTTCTTCTCAGTCCCTCTCTTTTTGGCTTGGACTAAGATAAATTCTAAATAGTTCAACTCAGTGGCTTATTGGCGCTTGGGATCTGCTCCCCTGGCCAGCTCTGTGTTGGGAGGATCTGGTATTGTTTTCATTGCTTCCTGCCGATAGTATCCATCAGCACGAGAGGAGAAGCCAAAGGATGTTTCGGCCAAAGCATTCTGTGTTTAATAAAGAGCCTGTGACTGCAGAAAGGCACACAGCGGGTTTTCCATGGGGGGATGTGTAGCCATGCTCCCTGATATCTTAGGATGTTTCAGGGGGGAAAGAAATCTTTTGGGAAAAAGCATGATCTGTTACAATGAACGTTTGTTTGGAAGGCTTCTCTGAAATCCTTGGCTTTGAGTTTCAAGAGGCCACAGTCCAATCGTTGCCAGGCTTATGGGAAGCGTGTTCATTGCCAGTCTGAGTGGTCCCCGGAACCTTCTGACCTCTGGCTGTGTTGGGCCATGACAGTGGCCCCTGGTATGGGTAAGCAGTGAGGATGCAGTGTGTTTGCAGCAAAAGCTTCCTTTCTGCAGACGCTCCAATGAGCCTAGCAGGTTCGGTCCAGCCTGGAGGCGGGCAGACACACTTGCCTAGGCGAGTACTAGCTGCCTTTCTCTGCGGGTTCCAGGGGCGGGCACGTAAAACAAATGACGAGAAGAGGAGCTAGGTCCAGTTGGGGTTGCTGGCACACGTCTGCCCTGGAAGTGTCGCTGGCCTGGGAGGTGGGTGCGTACTGCTGTGCTTAGGAGCTGAGCCCAGATGACCGCAGAGCTTGATCTCTACGCCCCTGTGGCTTGCCGGGGCCGCTCCAAACCCTGGGGCTGAGTGGCTGCCAAGTGAGGTTTCCCCTGGGGCTCCCGGTTCCTGAGCAGAGAGAAGCAACTGCAGGAGGGCAGAGGGATCCAAGCAGGGAGTCGAGCCAGAAGGTCCTGTTCTGTGTTCTTGTACAATCCCTGCTACCCACTGCACCTGGCACACAGCAAAAACAGTTGGGGTGGGGGCTGGGCGGCAGCATCGTACTTCCTTGGGGTGAGAAAATGTCAATGTACTCAGCACACAGAACCCCCACATACCACTAACATTCACCGAGTGTGAATTCAAACAAAAAGTCACCGAAATTAGACGGGAAGGTATC